TTCATTCATCTTCGTAACGAATGCCATTCAATGCTGATTGACATGATTCTCCTTGGAACCCTGAAACAACTGCGATAAGGTCTTGTCACTACAATATGAGTCCCAGACGACTCTGGTAGCAATGTCCCTACCACCGAAAGACCAGCGACTTGAGGGAACGCGGTGCGGGATAGAGCCAGTGCCTGACTAGGTTGGGCGTTCAGCGTAATAAACGGGACCATTACAACTGCGCTACCCGCTCGTTTTGGTGCTACTCTACGGTGTAAAAATTCTTCAGTGATAATTCGATTGCGACAATTGTCGTTTTCTTTGAGCACAGTCTATGATTAATTTGCTGGAATCCTTTCACAATTTATCTACATTTAGTTGTTGGAAGGAACGTCAAACATTGTCCCGTCGATTATCCGGTTATTCGAAGGCAACCTGTTAGAAAAAAGGAGGACATAAAAGATCAGCCCGATGCTAAGCCTTCGACAACAATTTCTCAATGAATAATCTTGTGGTGCCCAATCCAATACGTTTCTTATAGATTTTTTTAACCAAAAATTATCCCAACAAACTTAGCAACTTGCAATGACATTTGTATTTTGCCACCTAGTAGAGCACTACTCGTCGCTTGTGTCGCCGTTCCTAATTTTGACCAGTGACGGAATGTGAGAGATAAATAAAGAAACAAAAACTAAAGAAAAAACTTCACACATGAAAAAAGCACTTATCAAAAACATGTACCGTACGGCTAGAAATGTGTGCACAGGAGAAGAGAAAGCAAGGAATCGTTAAACTTGGCACGAAAAATAGCCAAATGGCTACGAAGTAGAAGCCACTCGGGTTAGACAAAAGCGTAAGGTATTTCATCAAAATAATGTTTCGGACGTAAGCAAGATTCCTTTTAAGTTATTCTTCATATCAGATAAAGTAAGTTACGCCATTAAGGGATGCTTAAGAAAAAGTGGTCTTGAAAATTATGTAACGATTATTGACATCTATATCCCACCCAATACCCTATACCGTCAGTTAGTTCGCAACCGTCTCTATGATCACAATGTTCTACCTTCTTATTTTCTGCCTACTATAATTTCGCGGCAAGGTACTAAGCGAAATTCAACCACAACGTTGCTGAGATATTTGCAAAACTCTAGACCGTAGGTGTCTATGGTGGGGAGCGAACGCGCTATTATCCTTTCCGGGGAGTAAGGCGTTCACTACCACACCATGCGGGTCCTTTGTTTCGCCTGTATCTCAGCTATTTCTATCGATCTTTGCCACAGCAATCACCCGTCAGCGGGATTAATCTGGGGCGCCCAAATCGGCATACAACCCAGTTAAGCTGCGGCTGTAGTTATAATCACAATCTTAACCTTTGATATTAAAAAGCTATAAAATGATATTTTGACCCTAGGGTGTGTCTTCCTCGCGACCCCACGTGAACTACGTGTAGGCCAGTCCCACTCAGAACATCACGGTGAGTAGCCTTTCTGTTCAATATGGCGTAGAACTACATTTGGCCGTAGCATCCTAACCCACCCTCTATTTAAAAGTTTGATCCTCATTAATACTTTAGCTTTTTCCACCGAACAAAGTATTCTAATTTAAAATACGTCCAGGCTCTGAGGAAGGCGAAATCGCCGAAACGTCAGCCATCGACCAACAAGACCAACAACGACGACAATGACAACGAAGACCTATACCAACCTTGCGTCAGCTAAAGAAGATCAGTTTATAAGATCATATAAATGTATTGTTGGGACGGCACGCTGTTATATGAACACCTAGTTGTTACGAACACTCGGTCGGATTAGCTGCTCGCCCTTGTTTGTGCCACGCGGGACTTTTCGTGATTGGCTGTCGCAGTGCTTAACACCTCAAACTTGGGTAGTTAAACCTTTACATACATATTGCTTGCAACAGAAATAAATTTCGAAATATATGTACAATAAATTACAAGTATGGTGGTCCAGTGGGCAGTAGTAGAATGGCTAACAAGCTGCATTAACAATGACACATAATGTTATTCAGCAGGTTGATGAGCGCATGAGGTAGTTAGGAAACATTGTATTGCTATGACTACAACAAGGTTAGGATTTACGTGCTCACGGTGCAAGAATTTGATAGCGATTAGTAGACTATCTGTGAACACTGCGAGTATTTAGGATAATTGTTACCTAAACAACACGTATTAGATGTGAATCGCTGAGAACCTTACTTTACTGATAATGTAAGAGCTTAAGACTTTATTTCATAACAGCGGTTGCGGGATTGCTTTAGCAACGAGGATGAGAATGTACGGAGTCGAGTATCGGTGAACACTGTGAGTATTTAGGATAATTGCTACCTCAACAAGGCGTATTAGACGTGAATTGCTGATAACCTTAATTTACTGATAATGAAAGAGCTTAAGACTTTAGTTCACAACGATTTTGCACAAGCGAAACAAAGGAGTTTTGAAGGATGACTATTAAGTGCGACAGCAAAAATGAAGGGGGAAGGGCAACGGCAAGCTCCAAGGCGTCGTCAGAGGGCAAATGGCCGTGCTAAGCGGCGTGGCTAGATCCGAGCGAGTGGCGTGGATCGCGGGGTCACGCCACGTGTAGTAAGGTCTCGCCCCTAAGCAATGCGTCGTGCCTGGTATTATGCGCGGTGGTGTATGCACTCAGCACCATCAGAACACATAAAGAATAAAGTTGCAATAGCGAACATTATTTTCTATTAGATGTTTACTTGGTCGACCTGTCCACATATATCAACTATTTATGCAGAGGTTTATAGAAAGTCGGTCTTTTGACTTATTAAAAGAAACAACTACCAGATAGCTTTAACAAAGCATTATAACTGTATACAGTATCCCAAGGAACGCATTTGGCGGAGTGGTCGCAGGCGCCCCGCGACACACACATGAGATCAGACCCCGCCCCGGTGGCTCACCAAGCCTTCCATCCCTCCGGGGTCGGCAAATTGGTACCAGATCCCTATCTGAGAGGATAGCAGCACTAGCTCGATACATCGCTAGGCCACTGCGAGTCATTGTAAAAGCCAGATATGCATTCAATCACCTACAACGATGCTTAATGATGTCTAATGCATGGCACACTCTCGGGGATTTATCAGCGCGGACAGCCTTATCTTTTTTTCACACTAACTTAGTGTGTCTCTATATGTAAGAACACTAGAATGACGACCAAGATGTAACCAAGCAACCAAACACATCCCAAATCAACGCTTTCTAGGGTCTTTCCTTGCGACTATGCAACACCTGCCGACAATTGCTCGTTCTTTAGCGTCTGCAACGCGTCGCGTCTCTGCGTCGCAGTTGAGAGGCAACGTAGTTTGTCAACGAGATCTCCCCAACGCTGATTTTTCTATGTATCTTATCTGTTTCTTGTCTCTTAATTAGGTTTATTCATCTCGATTTATCCAGCTATATACCCTGTTAGTTACCGGTTATTTGCCTGCTGGTTACTTAGTTGCTTTTTGGCGGGATCACTGCTGCTAATCCTATTTTCAAAAGTTTTACAGGATAGTAGGCACCTATAGTATCTGCTACTGCAGTTATCTTTTTATTCTTTTATAATTTTTCGAATGGTTAAGAATCTAAAATGGCTACAGCTGTGGCAAGTCAGGTGGGCGTTCTACATACCGTCGTTTTTTGTGTGATTTTAGAGAGTTACGTATTCTTGCAATTGCAGATTCAACCTGTCCAGCTTAATAACAGTCCGTCGAGTAGTGGAGTGACGCTGACAATTTCTGGTGGAACGGGTTTGTAAATAATAAGTGCTTTTTAAATTCATTACGAGCTTGTTAGTAAAGGGAGTAACGAGTTTGTACATCAAAATGTTTTTTTCGAAAATGGCCATACTATAAAGTGATTTCGGTAATCAAACAATATAAACTTTCTGGTGTACTTTGCATACGAAACATGCACTTGTCGAAATCAGGTACCGAACAACTACAAGCATTTGCACAAGAGGAGAAGCGAGAGGTAAGTCACTGCACCTGTCAGGACAAATCTCAAATGGCTATGAAACGGCCACCCACTGAGGTCACGGCGAAAAGGAGAGCTAAGCACCATAAAGGAAACGGTACTATCCCAAACCCAAGTAAGAAGATCGCTAAAGCTAGCCTTCATCTCGAGCGGAGTAGGCACGGCTATTAGGAGATGCCTAAAAGACAGTGGTCTGAAAAACTCTGTGGTAATCATGGAAATAAAAATGTAAGAGAAAGAAATAGAAGTAGTTCTAGAAAAGCTGTAGGAGCACCGCCTACCACTGTACAGCGTTATGTGCTTGTGAATCGCCGCGGTGACCGTCTACGTAGAGCAGAAGATAGCATAAGCAGATTGCTCTAAGGGTCGGTCTGGAGGCTGTATGAGTTTGGGTGCAAGATACCTATCTCCCCTAAAGCATGCAGTGATGAATACATTGGCGAAACTTTTGGAACGCTTTGTATTCGATTAAAAGAACACCGAAATGAGATGTCGGAAGCTCGACCAAGTACTTGTCTGTGTACACGTAGAGGACGAAGGCATAACGGTGATGACTTTCAGGTTGTAATCACAGTCCTGGGGTAGGAATCAAAAACGTCACCGTGCAAGACCCTTGGGACTTTTGGATCGATTTCGAAAATCCAAAAGTGTATAAAAAGAGAGAGTTCCTGGCTGTCACACGTGCTATAACGCTTATCTCAAATTTTCTGTTCTGTGCAGGTTTCATAGCTCATAGTGTGTGGACAACACTGGGTTGTTTACCTGACCCTATTTAGGAAGTTAAACTGTGGGCTTTCCTTAATAAGTGGATCTTTGGATTGATTTTGAAATCAGATAATTGAAATTGGGAATTATCAAGCGAGCATGTGTCGAATAGTACATATAAGCCCTGGCGGAGGCGAAATCGCCGAAACGTTAGCTATCTTAAACGAAAAAGGAAACTATACTAAGCTTGCGCTAGCTGACAAGGACAGTTCGTGAAATCGTGTATCATTTTACAGCTTCTTCGACCACATCTTCCAATGTTGCAAACAATGCGCTTAATCGACGTACTACTGCGATGGGATTCCGTTTTCAACCCACACCTTCTGCCGTAAGAAATTTCCGTCATTTTGCTGTTTCTATCCATCACTGTATTGGAACTTATCGCGCATTGAGTACCAAGTTCCTTTCTAAGCTTTAAACGTCTCAAATTTTCTGTCCAGGGATTTAGTTTTAAAACTATGTTTTTTTTCATGCCCAGTGACGACTAAACACTGTGGTTTTTCTGTCAGTAACTATTATTTGTAATGTAACCTATGGTTCATAATAGCGCAGATGTTCTTCTGTTCAGATTTCTGGATTCTTTTTTTTTTGGGCTAGTTTGACCGAAATGTTGTTGTGCACTTCAAAATTCAGAGGGATTAGCCGATCTTTCGTTAAATTCTGTGTTAGCTCAATTTCAGGACGCCATAGACTTTGTTTCTTCACGTTTATGCTCCTTGTTTTGATGAATGAAGCGGTTAAAGGCTCATACAGTTAGAAACAACAGAAGTGATGACGATAATATTTCTCTGCTCTGATCTTTGTAGCTGCTATGCGTGCACAGAAGATTTTGAAAATTTAAGTTTTTTTTCGAAAGTTTCTGCTAATTTGGTCTTGGACAGCCTTAAGATTAAAACAAGGTTTTGCATAAATCATATGTGGTTTTGAGATCATAGACCAAAGTCTCCTCGATAAGTCGACCAAGCTCTCGAGTCCTCGGGTGCTGTAGTTATCAAAAAATTGTTGGCAGATTTTGAAAATCATCATCGCTGTGTGGAATGTTGTTTATTCCTCCTTTCAACACTTTTTTTTTTTTCAATTTTTGAGTTTTGCCTGATAGACTTTAGGTACAACTTCAACAAATGGATGTGATGATGATGGGAGACGGTCCCGGTCGTCGATTGCGGAAAAACGTCGCCAATGTTCGCAGGCACGTCGACTATGTCGCTACTGTCCTGAATCATGCTGAGGTACATTTGTTATATTGTTTGGGCAGATTCCCAATTACTTCACATTTTTAGAGAATACCTTTTAATACATGTTACTTCGTGCTCCAATATTTTCAGAAGCTTGATGAATTTTATAGACATAGGCAACCATATCGTACAATCGGTGACAGTGCATGCATGCATTCACTAGAGCACTTTAAAGCTGTTGCATTAAGCCATAGTGGTTCCCTGGAGTTCGGAAGATAGCTGGGGCAAAGTCTGCCCCAGGTCTTCACCACCACAGGCAATCGCACCCCTTGTGGATCAGGGGGAGATTTGCCACCATGCTAGTTTGATACCAGGACGGTGGTGGATTTTGGTATTGGTTTTCCTTTAGCTGGAGTTCCTATTGGAAACGCCAGACTCCTTCTCAGCTTGCGAGACCCCGCTGTACATCGCAGGCCCACATCCAGCCCCCCCCCCCCCCCCCCCCCCCCCCAGCGACAACGGGTCTGTGGGAGGGCTGCTGGAAGAAGAATGTTTATAACATTTTTTCTCCACAGAAAGTCGAAAGTCTTTATGAAATCTTCCTTATCACAATTTCATTTGCATGGTGGTTTCTTTTTTGGAGGCTTATATATTGTTTTTTGCAGTCTCGTCTATGGCAATATAAGCGATGGCAACGACCAGTTCAGCAGCCAGACGAATTGTATCAAAACACAGCACTTCCAGCTCGATGTACACCGGAAACTCCTGTGGACTGTATTCTTACAAAGTTTGTGAGGGCAGCAATGAATAAAGTAAAGTGCCCTGTCTACAGCTTGTGTGTAAGTTCTGTTTTTTATGTCATCGTCTACTTTCGTTTTTGAATTATTTTAATATGGTGATTATGAAGTGGTAGCTCTAGTCCTCAAGAGCCATTGGCTGAAGCTAACCACCCATAGCTCTTCGTCTAAAACTGATAGCATTTATCCTATGCTTTACATTATTAGGTTAATGGTGTATTAATTTTTATTCTTTGTTTGTGTAGTGGACCCCTGAAGGCAAACGTCTGATCACGGGTGCATCAACAGGAGAATTCACTTTGTGGAACGGAACTGCGTTTAACTTCGAAACAATCCTGCAGGTACTGGGAGCGGTATTATCTTGCTCGTATGTATTTTTATTACTACACTTATGTTGAACTGACGCACCTTTAAAAACGGTGACAGTGTAGCTGATTTCGCTTTCTGCTTATTGATGTTGTCCATAAAGGACATTAGGTGTCATGTAAGAGAAGTGGTGAATAAAGCTTCGAAGAGACACCACTTATGATTATTCTACCCATTTTGATCGTTTAATTGTAAACGTGAAGTGGGTGAATAAAGGGATTCTTTTAAATGTGTTCTCAGACATGCGCAGGATAAAATGTCCCATGGGAAAAATCCAGAAGCTCATGGGTGTAAATACGAGAAGTGGAGTGTTGGGGTTTTTGTGCCTTCTTTTGATTGTTCGAAAAGTTCAAGAACCATTTTGGATAGGTATTGTTTTAGTTGAGCACGACCAAAGGTTTCGAGCTGAAGTATGGATACATGTCTATGTTTAGTAGTGTGCATTATTGGGTAGAATATTAAGAACAAGGAAGGTTTTAACCGTCCATTCCAAAAAGTTTGAGGTCTATACGAGTTGGATTAAATACGTCAGGTTTCTTGGCCATCGATTGAAAATGCTAGAATGGAAAGGGTAGGTTACTTTCTCAAAGTACATGGGAATGAATGACGAAGAAGACATGGTTTCTACGATCGTGCGTACGTTCCTTATGTTGGATTCGCATCTAAGGAACTTGGAATTTGACCGGTATAGGATTTTGAAACGGGATGTGGTTTGTGCATCTTTAAAGATACGTTATTGTCCGTGTCTTAGCTGAGCAGATATTGTTTTATTCCTAACTGAAATGGTGCGGACAGTTATATCTTTCGCAAATCGTTTTCCCATTCGATACTTGGGTCACAGTGAGAGTTCGGTTTACTCTGTACTTTGTAGAGGATTCTTTTTCTTAGTAATTTCAAGCGGTAATCTTTGGAGTTAGGATGATCAAGAAGGTTTCATTCAAGCTCTCTAGGAAATGTAGAGTTTACTTGGTCAGCCACATGTGTTTCTTATATAAAGCCTTTGAATACTATTATGATGATAGGCCTCTAAACCTGGATATGAAAATCATTTACGTGTAGAACTAATTTATAGATTGATGAGACTGTATTCAGGCCCACGATTCGGCTATTCGTGCAATGACATGGTCGCATAACGAGCAGTGGCTTGTGTCGGCTGATCACGAGGGATTCATCAAATACTGGCAGCCAAATATGAACAACGTCCACATGTATCAAGCTCATAAAGATGAACCAGTGCGAGGGTTGTCGTGAGTTCAAGCGACTATGTGGATCTCTCTTTGATTCGTATAGAAATAAGTTTCCATTGACAGTTTCGCTCCAACCGATGTGAAGTTGGCATCAGCGTCTGATGACGGTACTGTCCGCATATGGGATTTCGCACGATGTGTCGAAGAACGGGCCATGCGTGGTCATGGGTCAGAGGTGCGTCTTCACTAAATTCTAGAATTTACGGGATTACTGTAGTTGTTACTTTTTATGCATACTTTCCAAACGAGATCGAAAAATTGAAGTTAGAGAATGGAAAATGTATAAATTTTGTTGGTCGTTATAAATAACACTACCATAAATTTTATCATGGAGCAACTCGAGCAGTCACCATCAAATTCCATGTGTTTTCCTTCATGCAATAAAGTTGCTATGTGAGCTCCCACTAACTCAAAAGGTGCAAGGAGCATCGTGCACTTTGTGTGAAGCTCTTTTCTATTGCTTTTGTCGAGAAGGTAGCTATGGAAAAGTTATTGAACTATTAAACGACGTAGACTTCCACTTAGCAGAGCCTTCAAATGGAAATGTCAAACTCCTGACTTTTGATGACGGGTTGGTAGGTTAAGTGATCGCTCTGCATTCCAGTTTGGCTGTACCAAACTCTGTGCCATTCTCATGAATTTCTAATGTTCTAAACATTGCAGGTTTTTATAGAATTATGTTGACAACAAGCAAAACTACGAATTTACTATAGGTAAGATGCGTTGCTTGGCATCCATCTAAAGGAATGATTGCCACTGGCTCAAGAGATTCGCAGCAGCCTGTTAAGTTATGGGATCCACGAACTGGAGACTGCTTAACGACGCTGTATGTTTTACTAGGCGATTAAAATTGTATTCTGAGTGGTGTTTTGGCTGTTGTTTATTGAAACTGAGCTTTCTTGTAGTCAAGACCACAAGAGCTCGGTCATGGCCGTAGATTGGAATCGAAACGGTAATTGGCTACTGACGGCTGGTCGCGATCATCTCGTTAAACTTTACGATCTACGTTGTATGAAGGAGATGTATTCATACAAAGGACACAAAAAAGAAGTCACATGTACGTCAATTAAAAATAGTACTTGATGGTTCCCAACGGTTTACCGCCTCATCGTAGCTGAGAGGTGTTCCTGGGTGTCGGGCTGCGATGTAATTCATCCTACCCCCACCATCGTCTCCCAAGACGAGAAGAAGTCCGGTGTTTTCATCAGGAAGCCGGGCTAAGGGTAAACCAATACCAGGATCCACTACCGTCCTGGTATCAAACTAGTCGCATAGTGGTAAATCTCTCTAATCCACAACGGCTGCGACTGCCTGTGGTGATGATGGCCAGAGGTAGACTTTGGCGTGACTGACGCTGGGACTCCAAGGAACCACAATGGCTTAACCAGCAAAACTCCGAGGCAACGGAAATTTTGCTATAGTCCGCACAACCAGTGAGGATGTGCCATCCAGGTATTCAAGTAAGTATACAATACTTCCTCTACACAATATTAGTCATGTGGAGGATAGTCTTTTGTACAGTTTCAGTACTAGTCTTTTGTACAGTTTCAGTACTTCATTATAAAACTGTTGGATTTGCTAAAGTACAGATGTTGTTTTTTTACATTGTTCATGTATCAGTCTCATCTAAAGGAAAGCTTTCTGCAGTTAAGGCGATTCTTTCAGCAATAGCGTGGCATCCTATCCACGAGGGACTGTTTGTATCTGGTGGTGGAGATGGGTCCATTGCATACTGGCTGGTAGAAAATGAAAAGGTTTGCCGTTTTTGAGTAGCAACTACCATGGTAGATCGTACTCTGTAAGTATTAGAGAAATCCAATTTTATTGTCTTCTGAAGTGTACAAAGTGGGTAGTTTACTTTATTACTCAATTATAGGTGCGGAACTTTTCATTATATTTGAAAATAGTGCAACAGAAAAGTGTCCATGGAGATTGTCTTAACACCGTAATATAATCATTTTTACTTACTGCCTATTCCTTTTTCATGGCAGTTCATGATGTGAAATATACCCATAATGGTGCTGAAATATTTGCAGAGCTTCGGATCGCATGTGTTTGCGATGGGGATCGAACACGCTATTATCCTTTCCACCTGCTGTCATGTGTTTTCCACCACACCATGCCGGTCCTTGCCAATATCTTCAAACACACTCAAGAGAGGGATCCGCATGGTGTGGTAATGAGCGCGTTAGAACACGGAAAGGGTAGTAGCGCGGTCGGTTCTCACCCAGATACCTGCGGTCTGAAATTTTGCAAATATCTCAGCATCATTGTGGTTATATCTCAACATTCTTCATTTTAGGAGGTAGCATTCTTGGAGCATGCTCATGACCAAGCAGTTTGGGCTATGAAGTTCCACCCAATGGGACATATATTGGCCACTGGTAGGCATTTTATACACACCGATGTTTACACAGTTTTTATTTCTTGACTTTCATTTCTTTCGAAAATCGAAAAATTTGCAACTTCTTAATTGAGCATGTGGTTTTTTGTAATATTTTTCCTTCCTATTATAATCTTGCCTCACAGTTTTTAGTTATTGTGTTTACTGTCTTTATTGTTGTACCATTCTTCTTACTATTAAATAGTCGTACATATATTCTTCCGAAGTGCCGTTGTCGAGCTGACGCGAGGTTGGTATCAATTGTTGTTGTTGTCGTGATTCGGTGGATGAGGTTTCTGCAACTTCGCCTTCTTCATAGTGTGTGACCACCAGTGTGTTGTTCGCGTGGGACAGCTCTGATATTAAATAGTTCTCTATAGGATCAAACGACAACAATACCAAGTTTTGGGCGCGAAACCGACCAGGCGATACGCAAGAAGATATTTTTGGCCTGGCTTCATTTACTACTAACATGGTATGTTGAGCCGTAGAGTTTGTCTATGATTGAATATTTGTTGAGAACTGAGTTTAATTAAACTAATTCACAAAAAAGTGGCGTCTTAAATTTGTTAAGGTTGGGGCACTGGACAAAGAGCGTGAACCGAAGAGCGCTTCTGTTCGACTTGAGGAAGAATATTTAGCTCCTGTTATACCAGGTGATGTATTCAAGTACATCGTGCTTCATCATGAACAGTGTCTGTATTTCATAGTAATCTGTCCTACATATGTCGTGTAGAATGCAAGAATATCACGTAGAACAGTTGTATTTTGTTGCTTTCTTCATACTTCTTAAACGGTGACATTACTGAAAAACAGAACTTCCACTACATAAATTCGCAATTCGCTGTAGTTAAGTTAGAACTAATTCATTTTTTGTTCTAATGTTTTAGTTCTGTAATTCTAACTGTATGATTGAAACTGTTAACAATTCATCCTTGAAACTGTTTTATTGAAACACGTGGTTTAACAACTATTGCAATATTTAGGAATGGGATTGGATGGAGATGTTGTGGAGAAAATGAATCGTGATATCACATCGAATCCCGCATCTGCTCATCACACGATGTTACTCATGCCGGAAGATTTGAACGCTCGACATCAGGTCAGTTGTTAAACCGTATTGAAAGTGTATTCATACAGAGATAGAATATCTCAATGCACCATATATGGGGGAAATTGGAAGAATGAGTCTATCTGTTAGTGATTGATAAGCCGATAAGATAGAAACATGTGGAGAAAAGTTGAAGACATTTCTGCTCATATTCGCGACATCTTGCTAGCTATTTCTAGGATATCCGTACGCTGCAAATCCCTCAACGGTTTTCTGCCTCATCGTGACTAGGTGTTCCTGAGTATTGGACTGCGTGTACAGCGGGGGGATTCGTCCCACTGGCAGGGTCTCCCATACTGAGAAGGAGTCCGGCGTTTTCATCTGGAAGGATATCTAAGAGTAAACCAAAACCAGGATCCACCATCGTTCTGGTATCAAACTTGTTCGGGAGGTGATGACCTTAAGAAGTCTTCGACTAGGATGAGCTCGGCACTCCGGTGAACCATAATCGCTAAACCAGCAAATATCGAGGACGGAAATTACACTGGGGCCTCCACATTGAAGACGAAGTATCCGAGTTATACGCTGCAAAAGACGTCCTTCTGTTGGCCTTGACAAGTTTTTTGGTATAAAAGTGATCTTTTATCAAACTGAAATGTGTGACGATTCGTCCAGTTCAGCTTTTTTCAAGAATGGATCAAATTAAATTACGGTGTTGGCAACAGCTGTTTAATCGTAATGTTGATAGACTAGATTATAACTTAACACCATATCTCCACTGGAAATTCTATAAATACTGGTGGTCTTTTAGAATTTAAATGACCAGAACACAGGATTTTCATTATTATTTGGAAGAGCTACACTTAATTCATTGCTTTTTCTGCATTGAAGAACAATAATTTTTTTTAGCACAATGCAAATATTGGAGCGAAGAAGACATTAATAAAGCAACCACCTCCGAAGAAAGCTCAGCGGCAGTTCGAACGTATGTGGAACGTGTCAAAACCTAGTGGACCTGGTGGTCAGTAATCTGTTTGGTTCATTGATATCTTTTACTCGGTAAAAGTAAACTCGATAAATGTTTTTCAGTTGAAGATTTCGATGATGAACCGGAGGATGAGTTTTTCCAGTCACAGCAACAGCGTCCTCGTCAAGGATTGCTCGGGCAAGCGCCTCCTCCAATGACCATGTTAGCTCAGACTGGTTAGTTTGTCCTTTTTTCAGCCTATTGATAGCCTTTTCTTGGACTATAAGACTCTACAAAAGAGAGAGCTCTGAATTTAACGCCCCCGTTTTGTTATTTGTCACCTTGGTAGGTGTTGTCTACTAAATGAAAGAGACATCTCAAATGTGGTCGTGTTACTCATTGAAAATCGTTATAATGTATCAATAATATGACAGTAATATGTAGTTTCATAGCCTCAAATTGCTTTTCTACGTCTACGACTTTTGTGGCCATGTGAATAAGGTCCAAGGAATTATATCCTTTTTCCATAGGCAGGAGTACTTGACTTACCTGGACACCTGCATACTTGGATGGCCCATCCTCACTAATTGTGCGCGCCAGCAAAATGTCCATTTTTTCGTAGTTTTTCTGGATTACCTACTGTGGTTTCCTGCAGTCCCGAGGTAACCTGGCCAAAGTCAGCCTCAGGCCATCATGACCACAGGCACTTGCTGCTCTTGTGGATCAGAGAGAGATTTGCCACCATGCGACTAGTTTGATATCAGGACGGTGAGGATCTTGGCGTTGGTCTACTGTTAGTTGGGCTCCCTGATAGAAACGCAGGACTCCTTGTTAGCCTGGGAGATCTTGCCGTGGGAATGAATCGTCCGCTGTACATCGCCCGACACCTGGGAACACCTACCAGCTACGATGACGCGGTAAACAACGTTGGGAGGGGAGTATTTGACCTGCTTTCAAATTATATTCCTCGTAATTGAATCCTCATAATTCGTGTTTTGTGCATAGACAAGTTGTCGAGTTTCTCTACTAGCCATAAAATCATTTAACTACGACTCATATGCATGTCAAAAACCCCTTTCACTTCTGACGATTCTTTTGCTTCGTAAAGATACCTTTAGATCGGGTAGAATCATCTCAAATCCTGGTCCGATTATGGGAGGAGGAATGCTGACTTTACCGCGAATTGAGATAGCTTCTCTCCTGATCTTCACAACAACGGATCCCAATCCTTTTAACTCGTTTTGAGACATATTCTGAAACGGAGAGGACGAACTCGTAGTTAACAACCGGTTTGCATCTTTGTGTAGATCAGAACGAGACCTTCAACAATATGTCCTGGCTGTTTTAAAGTATATACCTTAAAAATGTTCACTTCAGGGACTTGTTGAGAGCGGTTCTTTTAAAATAACTTTGTATTGTAATTTTGTCATTGCTGTGGTTTCGGAACAGTTCCAGAAGAGTACTGAATGAATATTCACTTGCAGTGAAAGCTCAGTCGGCAGCTGCAATTGCTGCTGGCTTCGCAGGCGGTTTTGCTGGTGCACAGAAACTCGGCCTTCTTCCGCCTGGAATGCCTCCAGGTTGGAAACCAGGCTCGAACTCGGTATCGTCAAGCACCGAGGAGAAGCAAAAGCCGCCAAGTACAGCTGTGGAACAAGGTTCCTGTTCATAATTTTCTTTTTCGAATATCTCCACTTCTTTAGTATGAATTAGCCGAGCTCTGTTCATATGTTATTGCTGGAAACAAGGATATATTCAATTTTGATCTCTTGCCGTTCATATCTGTACTTTCCTCAGGTATTTATATAGCGTCTGTTATTGTTACACAATGTTTTGAAATCTAGTTCTAGTGTCAGAAGTCGACAGCAGCAAAAATATTCGTTCAATACTTTCAATTTTATAGGGCGTTCGTCAGGATCTCAAAATCGTCCGCCGTTACTCGGAAATACTCCTGCTGCAGCTACCAGTTCAGGTCCTTCACCAACACCTGGAGGGCAGAGCAGTGGGCCATCTAGGCCACTTCCAATGCCTCCGCAGCGACCACCTTTCCCTCAGCTGCCTCCCAGTTCGTACATTCAATGAATTTCCCTGTACCTGTTTTCGACTAAGTTCTATTCCACTGTGTAACATTAATCGGGATTGTTTCAGCCATTCCTTCTGGTATGACGCCTCAGATGCTTGCTGCTGCCGGTGTTTGGCCTCCTGGCATACCAATGCCTCCATCATTAGCTCAAAAGCAATCATCAACTGACGACGATTTGGAAAAGGCAAGCGTCATGAAGTATATATGTTGACTTTGCAATCTATTTCATTTAATGTTTTCTTTTTATTTTTTAGGATCATGACTACCGAGTGGGTAAGCCGTTGGGAACATCAGGAGACGTCGATTTACGTGCAGGTCCAGCATCAGTACCAGCGAGGCAAAGAGGTCCACTTGTTCATCATCCACCTGATAATGATAGGATCGGACTAGCACCAGACTTACGAAGACCATCTGCAGAAGGTGAATCGAGTAACTGTTGTTAAAAGGTTGCCACAACGTGTAGTTCTCCTTGTTACTACCATGAGACGACGACTAATTCACAGCAGCGCGCTGTTGGAGTTGGAATCACTGCGTATGTGTATCCAATCGTTTCAACGCTGCTCAGCCAAGCCAAATGTATGGCGTGTCCTTTAGGAGTTGACAGAGGTCAGCGATTCCAAAGAGTGAAACTAACGTCGAGTGAAACTAGGCCTTCATAAGTGGAAAATCTTTTCTAAAGCTGGTGAGGAAGAAAGACTGTTGTAATGTGAACTGCAGTTAAACAGTAGTAGTAGTAGTAGCAGTGTAACGCTTCCCAACAGTTTACCGCCTTGTCGTGGCTGGTAGATGTTCCTGGGTGTTGGGCTGCGATGTACAGCGGTGGGATTCATCCCCCCAGCAAGGTCTCCCAAGCTGAGAAGGAACCCGGAGTTTACATCACAGGAAACCTAGCTAAGAGTAAACTAATACCAGGATCCACCACCGTCCTGGTATCAAAGTCGCATGGTGGTAAATATCCCCCTGATCCACAAGGGGCGCGATTGCCTGTGGTGGTGAAGACCTGGGGCAGACTTTGCCCCAGCTATCCTCCGAACTCCAGAGAACCACTATGGCTCAACCAGCAAATCTCCGGAGAATGGAAATTACGCTGGGGTCCGCACAATCAGTGAAGACGGACCATCTAAATATCCATATAGTAAGTAGTGTACCGAGCAATATTTGCATTGTTGGATTTCAAAATTCGATGGGTATTCCAGTTAGTGCACATTACATAGAAAATGCTCCTGCACACGTTACGAATGCAGTTCTGTCATTCTTTGAAAATGAACAAATCCCAACCTCCAATTTTTCGACTATTGTTAATTCACTTTCGCGGAGAGGTCTTCCACCATTAAGCACGCACAACTTGGGGACAACATCGAGAATGTCTTCAATCAAAAATAGCTATGGCTTTATAGGAAAAAATATCGACTAGCTACCTACGCCATGCGAATATCCAGAAGATACAACCATAATGATGCTGAGATGTTTGCAAAACTCAAGACCCCAGGCCAGCTTCGAACCCACAATTACTCTTACCGGAGGCTCACGTTTTACACACTGCACAACCAAGGCATTTGCTTTGATTTTTTCTCAGCCAGTAATCCAGAAGATATTTATAACCACTGTATTGTGAACTGAAGTCTTAGGTTATAAAGTTTGAAAAAATCACGCAGCGTCGCAAACCATCTTTGCCAACCTATTAAGGGGATAGAACGAAATACTTTAAGATTGCGATTCCAACTACGATAGTGATACAGTTGTTATTAATTAAAGTGCCCGAATTTATCCATGTTGTTTTGGGTTTTTAAAAAAATCCTAGAATTAGAGCGACTGAAAAATGATCCCGAATTAAGCCTTTAAGGTAAAAATTTCTACGGTTCCGTTGACTGTATCTATATCTTTGAGAGCGTACTTCAGTTCTTTGACGCACAGTAGGCACCACTTATCCACTTACAACGTTTAAGTGTTAAATTTATATAACTACTTCATTTAGGGAACCATTCCTCCGGAGACCACGATCAACGATTACGGAACGCTGATGATGACATCCGTGATCCCCGCAGAAGACCATTACCTCAGGTTCAAATTGAAAGAAAATTGAAATTAAATTCGTGTAAAAATAGAACCAATGAATACATTTCGATTTATAAACGAAAATTCAGTTCCTTTCCTAAGATTATCCAGTGTCTGTAGTAGTAGCCACTATCCACATACAATGCGCGAAGCTAGGTTTTTGACAACTAGCAGTTCTTTCCCAAAAACTAAAGCATTTGAAAACTGGCAACAACACCTATTCGTAGAAGAGAGATCTAGTTTATTGCCTTATTCGTGTACTTAACTTCTATACAGTCTCCCAGTTTTAAATATGCTTAAGATTCGACTATTCAATATCAGAGACGTAATCCATGATTCCAAATTTCCGACACAGACCATCGCATGCAGATGGAGGAAATACCACTTGGTCAATTGCTTCTTTCGAAATGCAAACCTTGACGGAAGAGAATTTTTAAAAAATAACTCGGAAGACCAACTTTCTATAAACCTCGGCATAGATAGTTGATATATTTATTCAAGTGATCTTATAAACTGATCTTCTTATGCTGACGCGAGGTTTTAAAAAATATATCATACGCTTCAAAAGGTGAGTATCTCATCTAGTAAAGTAGAATAACACGCATCTTCTAGGTAGGGATCTGCAGACCTTTACGGCTTTCCAACTAATAACGCTGACGTGGCCCATATTGGTCCAACGTTGAAAATGACCACTATTTTTGCATCGAATACATGTACATCTCTGGCGTTATTTGCTTCATGAAACGAATTTCAACTATGTTCAGTTGTAAAATCAACCAGTGCTCAGATGTTTTGATCCATTTTACCTCAGCACAGCTAAAGATAGCGATTTTTAACGTTTTGTCGTAAATGAACACGCATTATGCTAAGAATTGTTATTTTCGAGTCATATTAGTGATGAACTCCTGACGTTGTAGACTTTCCAGCCGTTTACGAGATTTACATTTTAGGCGACACTGTGTGAGGTTATAGATTCGTATTTGTAAAAATCTATTTCAAATGACTGAACTTTAGGAATCTTTACCAATTCCACCACAGCATAGCGCGCACGTGCCACCACCGCATAGTATGCCGCCTCACCCCGGTGTTTCCCATCCACAGCCATCATCAAATCACAACCAAGGACCGCCACCATCCCCACTTACGGGGAATGTGAGCCGACAGTGGAATGGCCCTCCATCAGGACAGATCTCTTCTTCACAATATGATGAGCAGCATGACAACTCCTACGAAAATTGGCGACAACAATCATCGGGTCCGAGGCACCAAGGTATGTCATTTTTTGCATTTTGTTCACTATGGAAAGCCATTTCACTCTCTTCTTGTTCATGTATATTCTTACCCAGTTGCTTGCTAAACATCTATCACATCATAAATATTGCATCATAGCACATTCGGTCCGGAATTCTTCATGCTAAACAAAAAAAATCTCGCAAAGGGATTATATTCCTGTCTTGAAAACCTTCACCTCGGAAAAAGATGGGATTTATTAAACATTAGATAGGACAATGCAGTTCATTCAGGCAATGGGTATTATGGGAATAACAGGCAAGAATACGACCGAGGAAGAGAAGGTGGAGGTCCGATGAGAGGTGGTGGCGGATCGCGAGGGCGTGGGAGAGGTCGCGGACGTCCTTACTGATTACGGTTACACCGTGAACACAGAAGTGTTATTTATAAAGCATTGCTTCAATGCAGTTAACACATTGTAAATAAACGACCACAACTATTCGTAATGGAGAACCGTAAAATAGTGTTGGCTATATGACCTTCGATGAGTTATTTTATCCCAAAATCCAGCACAAGTTCTATTGTTGTTGTTGTTTTGTTGTTTGTCGCTATAAGTGCTAGACAACGCACATATAGCGTTGTAATTAAGGTTGTAAATACTTGATAAGAGTTTGTTTTCTTTTTGGTGAAGAACTATTGTGTCAACTTTGTAATCACAACTTGCCAAACAATTTATATAGCACAAGAAGGGATACCTTAAAACTTGACTTATGGATAACATGTAACAATTAACCTCTGTAGAAACGTTCTATGATGTTTTCGTCTTGTTTGGATAGTGAAGTCATTCAACAGTAATGAAAATTAGCAAACATATGCAACCAAACTGTCCCCGTCAAGTACCCATAGTAAATTCGAAGGTTTTGTGAAAATTTTTAGCTATTATGTACTGCCCATTCTTTTTCATTGCAGAACATTATGTAAAACACAATCACAAGACTGTTGAGATATGGGCAAAACTCGAACCCGCGACTACCGCTTCTGGAGGCTAACGTAGTCGTGGATTCGAAGCGCACCGGAGGTTACCGAATTTGTTCATATCTCAGCATCTTGTGCGATTAAAAATAATGGTAGGCACATGATTTCATACAAATCACGTTGTAGTAGGGTCATAACGTAAATACGTGTCATTTTTATTCTCATGTCTAACCCTATCAGAAAATGTGCCTATAGAATTAAGCGAGAAGTGCCGTTACAGTTCTGTTCCTATGCTCTCTATTGCAGTCATTCTTGGGACTATAATGTACTACACAGCAAACATACCAACAACGAGATTACACTTGTATGACTCGCGTATTTAGTTTAGTACTCTGACGGATCCAATTTCCTCGGCTTAGAAGTGTGATTCTCAGAAGGACCTCTTGGAAACTGCACTGATCTTTGGAAAGGTTCACCGAAAAGAGTGTCATCCAAGTGAACCTAAAAACCAGCCGACTAAAATGAATGGTTGGTATGGAGCGAAAGTATAATGGAACATACTTCAAATCGAAACTCGTCATCAGGAATGGCAGGTCGGCCATCTTTGATAGCCATTTCTTTTGCTAAGGCAACCAAACTCTTAAAAGATTGAAATATAACACATCAAATGATGAAGTGACAATGACTTTCTATTAGAGTTACTTGGAAAGTCCTGGGCTCGTATATAGCCAACTGTGAGAGGACGATGTTGTCCAGAAGAATATGAGCTTTATCAAGCATGTTCCGGAAATGCTTATATTCGAAATGATGTTCAGCTAATGCCGCTTCGAGACGCTGCTCAGCATACTGAAAACATAAACATAACAAAAAGCTCTTCAATAAAAGATGCGAAGGAAGCTCGCAAAAGTTCTAAGCAAAAATCGAGATTTGGTTATAATTTCTGATGGAAATTACCCAACTAGTAACAAAAGATATCTAAAACTTCCCGAGAGATTGAGAGAAAGACAAAACGAAGGACCCGCAAAATGTGGTGGTGAACGTGTTATCCCGTGGAAAGGGTAACAGCGCGTTCGCTCCCCATCCCGGTCACCTGCGGTTCAGAGTTCTGTAAATTTCTCAACATCACTTTGGTTTTGGAAGTTTCTTTTAGAACACTAATCCATATTCGATTTAAAGCACTCTCTACCAACTAAAAAATGCATGTTTTTCACCTGTGTTAACATTAAGACATAACGACAGGCATAATTAGGCCTTCCAGCTTTGAAAAGAGCATTTCGTTTCATAGTGGAACCTGTTGACGTAAAGATTAGTGGAACAGAAAAACATTTTAAACAATATATATGTTTTCCTATATGAAAATGATGAAACTCCCCAAATTTCTGGAGCCCACCACGCATTCTTTTCAATCTTTCGTCGTACAGAGTTCGAATATTAAACGGAATGCCGTTCAAGAGAACAAGTTTGTGGTTCGTATGTGCTGCCGCTATCCGTGTTAGCCAAGTCTGCATTTTAAAAAATTTGGAAATTCAATTCCCAGTCCCAGCAGTCTCAAAATTTTAGTGCCAACAAACTGAAGACCATAATAACATCTTATATAAACCATTTGTGGATTCATAAGGGCTATATCGAAAATCCGGAATTGGCCGCTGTATTTTGAACAGAGCACCAGTGGATATCATTGTCACCCTGAATCTTAACAGTTCAACATATAATCAATTTTAACAATCATAATCAATCAACAGTGTTTCTGGATAGAACTCACATGTCTCTCCAACTTTCTTTCATCCCTTCGCTGCATGTCTAGATAGCAGAACAACTTATTCAGCTTCACATTTCCATATTTGTAGGTTGATCGGTCCGAACTATATTGCCACTATAATTGTAATCTATAAAAATACTTCAACACACAGATTTACCTCCTCATACCATAACGCATGAAGAGTGTATCTTGAGACAAAAGTGTTATACACAGTGAAGCTCAGCTCAACAGGGTCTCTCAACCTGGGTTCGACATTTCTATCTGGAAGCCTACCTAAGAGTATACCTGGGTCAAGAGCCAGACGAGATCCCCTGGTTACTTCACTGCCAAGACAAGTAAAGAAAAAGAGCATTGCACCAAACCGTGATGCCCTTCATTTGACTTGTGGTACTCTGGTACTTGAGAGAAACAAAGGTCCACTCACGTTAATTCATGATGAACGGGACCATAGATATACTTAGATGCTCGGATGCACCGCCTTCACTGGTTGTGTCGACCCCAGCATAATTTCCAATATTTCGGAGTTTTGCTGGCTTAGCCACTGTGGTTCCCTGGAGTCCCGAGGTCAGCCATGCCAAAGTCTGCCCCAGGTCGTCACCACCACAGGTAGTCGCAGCCTTTGTGGATCGGAGAGAGATCTGCCACCAAACGACTACTTTAATACCAGGATGGTGGTGGATCTGGTAGTGGTTTACACTGGGCTTCCTAATGGAAACGTTGGGCCCATTCTCAGCTTGCGAAACCCTGCCGAGGGACGAATTTCGTCCTGTATATCGAAGTCCAACACCCAAGAACAATTAGGCAGTAAACCGTTGGGAGGATAGATAAAACAAGTTGACAAAAATTATTTGATCCGTCTTCACATCTACTGTGCGGATCCCAGCACTTCTCACATTCAATTCGATTCCTCGCATCCATTGTCCACGAAGACCTTCCAACACTTACGTGTGGCTTTGGTTGCTACTTAAGGATTTCAATTTCATCTTGAATGTCGTAGAATGCTGGTCGAGCAATTTCCCATGAAGTCTTGAGATAGCCGGGCTGGAGCGTTCCTAATAGGACTGTAAAGTGACTTTTTCCCAGACAAGTCCGATACCAATTTCCCGACCCTGGAGCGATGAGAAGCTTGGTTGGCTCGGAGCAGAATCGAAGTGGCACTATGCTCGTCATGACGGACATCATTACCACTTTGCTATCCGCCCTCTGAACAAAATGCCCTTTCCTAAGTCAGGTTTAGCAGAAAACAAAGTACGAATGGATGCGAGGGAATCCTTGCAGTACGTGCAACTAAGGATCCTTGTTTTTCTCTTGGCAATTTTGAATCTGGGCTCACAAGGGAACTAAAATCAAAAGTGCAACGTGACTTTACCGCTGTAAAACGATTCTGTCGTTCTCGTACATGCCATCGGTCCGCCTTCGGTATCGTTTGAAATGGATGATAAGCACTGTTGATAATTCTACGCAGGCCAAGCGCAGATGTCAATCGCATACTGATAACCCTGAAACTTGTTGAGTTGAGCACGATGGGCATGATTTAGTGCAAAAATGGGGTTAAGAACACAATCCTAAGAACCTGGGAAGATAATCTGGCCAGTCGAATTCGTCAATATGATCAAAAATACAGGATTAATTGAAACAACAGAGAAATGCATTCTAGAACTAGGTGTAAATCTCTGCACATAACTTGTACTTTTTTTTCCACAAAAAACGTATTTATGTAGAAGTCCTGGAGGCGATGGTTAGTAAAACCGTTGACTACCACACATGCCAATGATGATAAGAACATAATCCAACTAGTTAACTCGTACATGTTACCAGTGCTACTCAGCTCGGAGTACTTCGAAGAACGACATTCCTTCACCCACGAAATGACTAATCAATACGTATTCTTTCATTGATGAGCTAACATGAGGTAGATAATTGGGCTAGGAGAAGTAAACGAATAAGCAGATGAAGACTGGACTCAATCTCACGACAAAGACAGCACATCGAGAGTACGAAGAAATGTGGACCATCAATTCGTATCATCGGCTACGAGGAAGACGTAAACGTCGTAACAGCAGCCGAACGACCTTCTTCATCATTCTTGTGTTAGCTTAACAATTCAAGAAGGTAATGATTATTAGCACAGAGGTTAAATGAGGGTCGGTTTAAAAAATGCAAAATTTTTCGGCGATTTGATAGTCGTCAGAGTTGTATCACATCAAAGGAGACGACTGTTAATTGGCTTGTACATATTATCGGTAGCCTCATCAACGAAAAAATATGTATTGATCAGTTCAGAGTGTTCAAATAACATTTAAATCCACAACTGTTGAAGACTGGAAACTTTGCAATCCTTCGGGAACCACACGATCCACGAACTTTACAAACCTCCCTCCAATGAGGAGGCTGCCAAATCTATAGAAATAGTATGCTACAATGGACTCCAGATTTATTCCAGAAATTCGATATACATCAATTACTACCGAAAACTACCCACACGAAGAAATCGCGAAGACGTGCGATCTAACCTTGGCAAGCGGCCAAATCTACGCACCGTATTCCAGTGATTTCCGTCGGGGACCCTCTAATCCCAAGATGAGCATCGCCGTGAATCGATCCGCATTTGGACAACCGCCAATGATAATACGGTGTTTTTTGCATAGAATCCAGTATTTTTTGAATTATACTCTTCCGTGTCTATCTATACTTGTTACTCTATGAATTTACTGCAGTACGGTCATCAAAGTGTGGGGTCGGGAGTTTCAACCGGGGCCGATTCCTACCCCTCCAGAACTTGTGCTTTCTTGCGGTCTTCCTCTATTCTTCTTCTTTTAAGCGTCGAAAATTCACTTGTTTTACTCGCCATTACCTTAATTATCACTTTAGTTTACTTGTAAAGTATATGACCTACTTCATAACTTTCTAAATCACCTTTTACTTGTCGTTTGCGATGAGTGGAACGGACATGTCTTAGAGCAAATCCAAATAGTCTAGAAACATGGAAGCTTAAACTTGAGACTAATCATGGCTAGCACTGTAAATCACCTTCTCTAACTCTTAAGATTATAGTTTTCTCTTCTGCTTGATCGGTTTTCTTTGCTTTCAGAAATTGCTGTTGGTGCTTAAGCGAATGTAAAATGCTCTAATCACTTTTTGTTTGATTCCAGCTTGTGCTCTGTATTGCAATGATTGCTGTACGTCCATAATAATCGAATGTTCAATCCTCAAGCTGCTCGTAGGCCACCTGGCAGCATACAGCCCAATCCTGGTGCTCCTGTTCAAAGCCAAAGTGATATACACGCCAAGGAAAGGTGAGGTATTGTTAGGGTCGGATCTCCCTTATTACTGTTTAGAATTTTTGGTCTTTTAACCATTTTTCGATGGGTTTTCCTGCCCAGTTTACAAATTCAAGATGTTCTGTTTCTTTGATAAGTTCTTTGATAACTTGTTCTTCCTTCTACCACAGCTGAGTCAAAAGACTTCCTTGAATCAGTGGAAGTGAGACAGGGTGGTCGACATGTATTCTTTCACTGATAAGCCTTGATGAGGTTCATAAACGGTCTTTATTCGACTAACGTTTCGTTGTCTTCGTCTTCATCAGAACCGATGATCCGGGTTGATGCTCCATCTATAGTCGGTGGAAATCAAGTTCTGTTCGGAATTTTTGCACTACGATATAGTGTCGTACAGGAACCGTTTTCTAGTACACACTTGAAAGCAACCTGAAGAGGAACATAGGTCGGTAGATTTCCAAAAAAGTGCTACGGGCCCATGCGAGCAATTAATGACCTAAAATCTCCCTAACTGATGACCTAAGTCCTTGGATCATCTCCAAGATGTCTTATTTTCGTAGCATTGAACTTATTTGCATTCCTCATCTAACGGATTGCTCAAATTGAACAACAGCTCCTTCGTCCACAAATAGTTCTTTAGCCTGAGTGGGACCACCTTGCTGTGGAATATTTGTGAGGATCTTTTGTGACAAACTTCTCAGCAAACTTTTACGTTTCTGAAATGTTTTTATAAGCATGAAATTTGCAAATCTACAGTATATTTTCTGAATTTAGACTCGCTGCGTATGTATACGAATATCTAGTTATCTCTGGTGCAACCAAGACTGCCGAAGTGTTTAAGGAGGAAGTTTTGAATGTATGTCTCATCGGTGTTTGCGTTGTTCTTAGATATATGATGCGTGGTATTTATCTCAATAGTGCTGGTTTCAGAATGTTGCTAATGGTCCTATAAAACCAACCGAAGTTGGTCCAGGATTCCTTCAGAATTGGTGGATGTGAGTAAGCTGTCAAAGTCCACTTAGTTCAGTTAACCACTTCTAGTTGGGAAATATGAGGCTTTTTTGGTTTTTCACTTTGGTTTTCTTATAAGTAAAAAAAGACCTTACATTTTTGTTATTTCAAAGAATCCCGTCTTTGTATTTTGACTTTGTAGTAAAAAGTTTATATCAATTACTAGGCTTTTCTGGGATCTATACTGTGCAGCTCCTGAAAGGAGAGATGGTCCTGACGGTCAGTCAACACAAGAGGCCAAAGCCTTTCATGACTTTGTAAGTAATCCACATAGTACGAACTTTTCCCGGAAGTATCCCTATAAAGTAAAGTTTTATGTGCTGAACTCAGTTATCGTAATTTCAGGGGTTCGTTCCTGGTGGTTTTGGTCCACCCGGTCCGATGATGAATGGCATGCATGGCCCTGGGGTAAGTTCACCACCAGAAAGACTAGCTTTTTTCACAACATTGCTCCATTTCTTGTAGTGGACATATGTGAACATATAATGTTCAGAAGAGTTTGTCTGTGGGAATTTCCATTGATTTCTCTGCTTGTTTCCTTTCTATTCCCGGTAATCGCGCTGAACTTGTTAAGACGATAGGTTGCAACTTTGGGTATTCTAGCGCAATGCGACAACGGGCATGTGTTGAATAGCAGCAGTAAGTGTAGCAGATGATGAGGCGAGCGGACGGGGGGTGTGGGCGCTGGCGAGCGGAGTGAGAGCGATACGTCGTGCAATGGGTGAGAGATGCAGCGCATGGTTAGCTGTGTGTGTGTGGGCGCGAACGTGTCGAGTTCATCGAGGAGAGCATGCTGAGGCGAGCGAGGGGTTGCCGAGCGGCGATACTTTTGCGGTACGTGTTGGAATGAAGTTTTTCCGGAGAATAACCAGGTCACTGTAATGGTGTTGGTCTAATGTTTTGGGAAGTATGATAAGAAATACTTGCTGGTTTCTCCCAATTCTCGCGGGTACACTAATCACAAGGGAAATTCTCAGCAGTGGTGAAAGCAGATTCATCACTTAGCTCTAAGCCGTCTCTCTGTTCGGTCGAAGTTTTCTACTTCTCCCTTATTTTAGCGCTTGAATAAGTTTCTTTAACATTGGGAATGGTTTCCCTCTGCAGAGATGATATAGTTTTCGCCTATATCTCTATTTTTCAGTCGTAGTACTACATTTAGAGGCGACCAAATTGGTATACAGTGTGCTTCATTCAAAGAAACTTCTATCAAGCTAGCATAATTAAGATTAGTTCCATATTGGGTCTTTACGTCACCAACCCGTGTGTGTTATTAGGTTTCAGAGCTATTTTTATGAATTAGGCTTAGAGACACATCTCGGTGTTACAGTTAGATGTTGCAGATTTGAAGATATTTTCAATGCTGTTCTATTAGGAGTAGGGCAGAAATTAGCGTCTATGTGGATATTGTAGTATTAAGCTGTGGTTGTGGTTTGTGACTTTTCTTGAACAGTGTTTAAGGATTTTTGGAGAAGCATGGACACTAAGTGTAGTCTATATGTTTATAAACTCTACAATTTTTCACTCATTATTCCCTCATTCAGAGGTCAGTGTTGTTAGGAACACACGACCTATACCTTCCGCTTTTTCTACCAACGGGTAATATAGGTCGCAATTTCGATAGTGGCGAATAAGGTCGTTTCGGTGAGGACAGCAAGGAGCTACTGAGAATATGCAAAGTGCAGGGCTTGAAAATGTTGGTGAAACTAAACCATTTGATGTTTCGTGGTGTCTTCTGCTTCTGTTATCATTCGTCAGTGATGACGTGGATCCCGTTATGGTCAAAGCGTTAACCTAGTATAGCAGTTACGTACATATGTACTCCTACCATACCTCATCAAAAAATGCTAAAATTGTCGACCATTTTAACAGACAGTGATTTTTAATGTAGAGGGTGTTTAATACAGATGTGAAGCATGGACTCAATACCATTAGTGGACTATATGGCAGGTAATAAAAGGAGAACTTTCTTAGGCTGGTAGTTGTTCTAACTAGATATAGGTGATTATTTGTAGAACATACATATTGTGTGTCATTTAGTTTACAAAGAAGTTGTGTTTTTTTTTGTTTGTTCCAGTAATGATTGCTCGAGAGTAGAAAAAGTACGTTCCGAATGACAATATGGCGAGCGTAACTATTTTCGGGATCAAATTCGTAATGTTGGGCAAGTGTAGCTCAGTGGTTAGAGATGTTTTGCAATGCACGTGTGGTTTTTGATTCTATCACGCGCCCTGGACTCACTAAACAATATATCCCTAGATTTGTCTGGGAGGACAGCAACACTGAGTTGATACATCGGCAGACTATCTTAAGCCATTGTACAGACTTAGTATGCATTCATTCGCCTCGGACGATGTTTACTGATGCCGAATGCATAGCGTATTCCTCAGCGATTGAACGACGCCAGAAGCTCTGTCCCTTAAGCTTTTAGTAATGCCACAGATTTGGCACTCTTCTTCCTCCCACTTTTCTCGGTTTTTTTCTTTGATCATGCTGAATTAACGCGATCCCGACGTGTAGTGACGATACGGAGAGGGCATTAAAGTGACGTAGAATTATTGACGAGACGATGGATGGTGAGAGTGCGGCCGCCTCGGATGGAGGCGGTGCTATCGCACAGCACAGCATGGCCAGCGACGCCGAGAAGAAGATTGTCAGCGCCGCCCGCCCCTCGAAGAAACGGAACAAACATTATCGTGTTTTCGAGATTTGCGTAGCCCAAGGCAGATTTCATACAACGAACAAAGTAGACAATTTTGGATGAGACAAGGGGTCGATATGATGAGAAATGGATGATTATCTCACTGGTGATTCCCCTGAAACGTCAAATGATCGCATACGCTAATAGTGGGCAAGGAACGATCGTGCATATCTGCTCTTCGTGTGGTGATTAGTGAACAGCAGAGTCATAATATCCTAAGTACTCCTTTGCAGAGATTTTTGAAGGCGATTGAATCCTTAGTTGCAAACATTTCTGTATATTGTTTGTTCGCATAGTTTAAAAAATTTAAACAATCAGTACATCTTAATTAGTGCGTATTTTTATGATTTGCTTAGGAAAACGTACATTGGTTATTTCAGTTTCCTGGCGGCCCAGGAATGGGTATGCCTGGTCCTGAAGGGATGATACCAGGTAGGTAGTATGTCATTGTCCATATTCGGGATCGTTGAGTAGAACATGGATCAATTTAAGGTCATCCCGGCGCGCCAGGATTCCCTGGTCGATTTCCGGGAAGAGCTGGCTGTCCACCTGGAGCAATGCCTCCTACCGGTTTTGGAATGTTTCCTGGCGATCCACGAGCGATGCCTGGTCAACGGATGCCTCCGAACGCGGCTATGCGCATGCCACCAGCATCGTTTGCACCGGGTGGAATGCGACCGGGTGCTCCGGGTCCTCCTGCTCCTCAAGGTTCACAAATTCTTTGATTTCAATCGGTAGCACTTTTTCTTCTCAAACAATCGTTTTCATTCTTTTGAGGAATGAGATACGGAGCACCACCAGGAGGGGCTTTCATGGACTCGCCTGGTCAGGCATTTCCTCCAGGTGCTGGTATGATACCAAATGGTGGTGGAGTAATGTGTTCACAAGCTCCAGTTGGAATGTCGATGTCATCTCCCGGAATGCCTCCTGCTGCTGCAGCTGATCCTCATGGTTTCATGATGAGTGGTATGCCATCAAGCTCCACAGCGATGCCGGTAAGTGATAGGTGATCTTTTTGTTCTTGGGTGAAAATCCTTAGCGGATTTTCACTGAAACTGGTTTTCAATATAATATGTCAATTGTTTAAGTTTGGTATGGGCGACACATCGGTGACCATGGGTAATGGTATGGGACCAGGCGGAATGGGCGGTGGGGGCCCTGGAGGTCCGGAAGGAGGTCCATTAACTGGTTTGTTGAATGGAGAAGAACTGAAACAATCTCCTGCTTCAACACCACGAGGTGGTGTGAACGGAGGAACACCGGCTCCTCCAGGATCAGCACACAGCATGCAGCCAGCATCTGTGCCGGGTGGTACAGACCTTATGGATCAACAAAGTAGTAAGGTGAGTGGCGCATTGTTTGTTTCATTTCGACCTTTGCTTTTTATCACTTTAGAGTTCATTGAAGAATTGGGAAATGTTAAGGCTAGGCTGTTGTAGTGCAATATGAATATGCACATTAAACTCGATGTCATTTTTCGCTTATCCTCCAGTTTATTTAATGTTCGTAAAGCAGTGTAGTTGTAAAAATTAGTGAATTGACTCATCCAGAGATATGGTTGTCCTCCTTGAAGATCAGTTTGATAGAAATAATGTCAACTGTCTCTCCTGTCTTTTTGTGACTATTCCACCGCTCTTTGATACTTATTCATTAGCCCGTGGTTTGATTTTTACTGTGCTGAGAAACAAGGGCAGCCTCAGAATTCTTTCAAGTTGTACAATGGTTTCCATTTCTTGCTAAGAATGATTCTGTTTACATGACGGGATGCACGAAACTTTTTCTCTTCATATTTAAACTTGTAGTTGCAGTTCAGATTTCCATGTGAGGAATTCTCCATAATTCTTTTTATCAAAACCTTTTGGAATTTTTAACGTGTTATTTGCTGTGGCCGAAGTTTGTGAAGTCCTTTGATTGAGTCCATAAATTAGGGTCTCTGAAGTTTAACCCTTTTTTAATGTTCGGATCTGTACTCATAGTAAACTTTATTGACAGAAGTAAAAGGCATTATAGCAAGCCTATTTTGCGAATAAGATGCAAGTCACTTACATCTTTACCTTTTTTTATGCGTTTTCAGCACCCTGGCTGTTTTAGGTTTTTCTATACGTATCTGCCAAAATGTTTGAAAAAGGCAGTAGTTGGTGACCAGAGGATTGGGTATATATGATAGATGTTCAATATTTTAGTCATTTAAACCATTCTCATCAGACCATCTGCTGAGCTTTTCGCTACATTGTTCTGACCAGGATTGGAGTTGCGAAGTTCGGAAATTAATGGTGGATTTCAGTCTGCATTTTTAAATTGGTATATCTCATCTCAGAATAAAGATTATTAATCGAAATAGAAACCCACCAATTCGACACATTTGTGCCAACGATAACAAGTTTACCTATATCAGTTGCATAGAATTCTGGACTTCTGGAGAGTTGAGCGGTTGGAGGCGGTTTCGGCCTCACCTTGGCTTCTGAAAAATTTCTGGCACAGGAATTTATCGAGATGCTTTCGAAATGCTTGAAGGGGTAGTAGTCAGTAGGCGAGAGATCTGGCTAGTGTGCTGGATGAAGCAGAGCTTCGTAGCTCAGCTCCTTCAACTTTTGCAGCGTCGGCGGTGCGGCATGTGGCCGCACTGATCCCTTTCCGTGACTAATGTAGGGCACAGCCACCGAAGTTTCTCGTGCATTTCGCTGATTTCCTTGGCATTTTCTCGATGTAATGGTTTCAGTCGGATTCAGGAAACTGTGGTGGATTAAAACAGCAGGAAAACAGTGTGACTTTTTTGGTGCAATTTCGATATTTGGGAATTACTGCGAATCCATCGAGGTCCAAACACTGTGGTGAGCATAGCCAGTTATCGCTGAGGATCTATTTCTTATGGCATATTTTATT